CTGTTTCTCTGGTCCCTGTGTGTCTGTTTCTCTGGTCCCTGTGTGCCTGTTTCTCTGGTCCCTGTGTGTCTGTTTCTCTGGTCCCTGTGTGTCTGTTTCTCTGGTCCCTGTGTGTCTGTTTCTCTGGTCCCTGTGTGTCTGTTTCTCTGGTCCCTGTGTGTCTGTTTCTCTGGTCCCTGTGTGTCTGTTTCTCTGGTCCCTGTGTGCTGTTTCTCTGGTCCCTGTGTGTCTGTTTCTCTGGTCCCTGTGTGTCTGTTTCTCTGGTCCCTGTGTGTCTGTTTCTCTGGTCCCTGTGTGTCTGTTTCTCTGGTCCCTGTGTGTCTGTTTCTCTGGTCCCTGTGTGCTGTTTCTCTGGTCCCTGTCTGTTTTCTCTGGTCCCTGTGTGTCTGTTTCTCTGGTCCCTGTGTGCCTGTTTCTCTGGTCCCTGTGTGTCTGTTTCTCTGGTCCCTGTGTGTCTGTTTCTCTGGTCCCTGTGTGTCTGTTTCTCTGGTCCCTGTGTGTCTGTTTCTCTGGTCCCTGTGTGTCTGTTTCTCTGGTCCCTGTGTGTCTGTTTCTCTGGTCCCTGTGTGTCTGTTTCTCTGGTCCCTGTGTGTCTGTTTCTCTGGTCCCTGTGTGTCTGTTTCTCTGGTCCCTGTGTGTCTGTTTCTCTCTGGTCCCTGTGTGTCTGTTTCTCTGGTCCCTGTGTGTCTGTTTCTCTGGTCCCTGTGTGTCTGTTTTCTCTGGTCCCTGGTGTGTCCTGTTTCTCTGGTCCCTGTGTGTCTGTTTCTCTGGTCCCTGTGTGTCTGTTTCTCTGGTCCCTGTGTGTCTGTTTCTCTGGTCCCTGTGTGTCTGTTTCTCTGGTCCCTGTGTGGTCTGTTTCTCTGGTCCCTGTGTGTCTGTTTCTCTGGTCCCTGTGTGCCTGTTTCTCTGGTCCCTGTGTGCCTGTTTCTCTGGTCCCTGTGTGCTGTTTCTCTGGTCCCTGTGTGTCTGTTTCTCTGGTCCCTGTGTGCCTGTTTCTCTGGTCCCTGTTGCTGTTTCTCTGGTCCCTGTGTGTCTGTTTCTCTGGTCCCTGTGTGTCTGTTTCTCTGGTCCCTGTGTGTCTGTTTCTCTGGTCCCTGTGTGTCTGTTTCTCTGGTCCCTGTGTGTCTGTTTCTCTGGTCCCTGTGTGCCTGTTTCTCTGGTCCCTGTGTGTCTGTTTCTCTGGTCCCTGTGTGTCTGTTTCTCTGGTCCCTGTGTGCCTGTTTCTCTGGTCCCTGTGTGTCTGTTTCTCTGGTCCCTGTGTGTCTGTTTCTCTGGTCCCTGTGTGTCTGTTTCTCTGGTCCCTGTGTGTCTGTTTCTCTGGTCCCTGTGTGTCTGTTTCTCTGGTCCCTGTGTGTCTGTTTCTCTGGTCCCTGTGTGCTGTTTCTCTGTGTGTCTGTCTGTTTCTCTGGTCCCTGTGTGTCTGTTTCTCTGGTCCCTGTGTGCCTGTTTCTCTGGTCCCTGTGTGCCTGTTTCTCTGGTCCCTGTGTGCCTGTTTCTCTGGTCCCTGTGTGCCTGTTTCTCTGGTCCCTGTGTGCCTGTTTCTCTGGTCCCTGTGTGTCTGTTTCTCTGGTCCCTGTGTGTCTGTTTCTCTGGTCCCTGTGTGCCTGTTTCTCTGGTCCCTGTGTGTCTGTTTCTCTGGTCCCTGTGTGTCTGTTTCTCTGGTCCCTGTGTGCCTGTTTCTCTGGTCCCTGTGTGCTGTTTCTCTGGTCCCTGTGTGTCTGTTTCTCTGGTCCCTGTGTGTCTGTTTCTCTGGTCCCTGTGTGCCTGTTTCTCTGGTCCTGTGTGTCTGTTTCTCTGGTCCCTGTGTGCCTGTTTCTCTGGTCCCTGTGTGTCTGTTTCTCTGGTCCCTGTGTGTCTGTTTCTCTGGTCCCTGTGTGTCTGTTTCTCTGGTCCCTGTGTGCCTGTTTCTCTGGTCCCTGTGTGCCTGTTTCTCTGGTCCCTGTGTTCTGTTTCTCTGGTCCCTGTGTGCCTGTTTCTCTGGTCCCTGTGTGTCTGTTTTCTGGTCCCTGTTGTGCCTGTTTCTCTGGTCCCTGTGTGCCTGTTTCTCTGGTCCCTGTGTGTCTGTTTCTCTGGTCCCTGTGTGCCTGTTTCTCTGGTCCCTGTGTGTCTGTTTCTCTGGTCCCTGTGTGCTGTTTCTCTGGTCCCTGTGTGCCTGTTTCTCTGGTCCCTGTGTGCCTGTTTCTCTGGTCCCTGTGTGCCTGTTTCTCTGGTCCCTGTGTGTCTGTTTTCTCTGGTCCCTGTGTCTGTTTCTCTGGTCCCTGTGTGCCTGTTTCTCTGGTCCCTGTGTGTCTGTTTCTCTGGTCCCTGTGTGTCTGTTTCTCTGGTCCCTGTGTGCCTGTTTCTCTGGTCCCTGTGTGTCTGTTTCTCTGGTCCCTGTGTGCCTGTTTCTCTGGTCCCTGTGTGCCTGTTTCTCTGGTCCCTGTGTGCCTGTTTCTCTGGTCCCTGTGTGCCTGTTTCTCTGGTCCCTGTGTGTCTGTTTCTCTGGTCCCTGTGTGCCTGTTTCTCTGGTCCCTGTGTGCCTGTTTCTCTGGTCCCTGTGTGCCTGTTTCTCTGGTCCCTGTGTGTCTGTTTCTCTGGTCCCTGTGTGTCTGTTTCTCTGGTCCCTGTGTGTCTGTTTTTGTTGCTGTTTCTCTGGTCCCTGTGTGCCTGTTTCTCTGGTCCCTGTGTGCCTGTTTCTCTGGTCCCTGTGTGCCTGTTTTCTCTGGTCCCTGTGTGCCTGTTTCTCTGGTCCCTGTGTGCCTGTTTCTCTGGTCCCTGTGTGCCTGTTTCTCTGGTCCCTGTGTGCCTGTTTCTCTGGTCCCTGTGTGCCTGTTTCTCTGGTCCCTGTGTGTCTGTTTCTCTGGTCCCTGTGTGCTGTTTCTCTGGTCCCTGTGTGTCTGTTTCTCTGGTCCCTGTGTGTCTGTTTCTCTGGTCCCTGTGTGTCTGTTTCTCTGGTCCTGTGTGTCTGTTTCTCTGGTCCCTGTGTGTCTGTTTCTCTGGTCCCTGTGTGTCTGTTTCTCTGGTCCCTGTGTGTCTGTTTCTCTGGTCCCTGTGTGTCTGTTTCTCTGGTCCCTGTGTGTCTGTTTCTCTGGTCCCTGTGTGCCTGTTTCTCTGGTCCCTGTGTGTCTGTTTCTCTGGTCCCTGTGTGTCTGTTTCTCTGGTCCCTGTGTGCCTGTTTCTCTGGTCCCTGTGTGCCTGTTTCTCTGGTCCCTGTGTGCCTGTTTCTCTGGTCCCTGTGTGCCTGTTTCTCTGGTCCCTGTGTGTCTGTTTCTCTGGTCCCTGTGTGCCTGTTTCTCTGGTCCCTGTGTGCCTGTTTCTCTGGTCCCTGTGTGTCTGTTTTGTCTCTGGTCCCTGTGTGCCTGTTTCTCTGGTCCCTGTGTGCCTGTTTCTCTGGTCCCTGTGTGCCTGTTTCTCTGGTCCCTGTGTGCCTGTTTCTCTGGTCCCTGTGTGTCTGTTTCTCTGGTCCCTGTGTGTCTGTTTCTCTGGTCCCTGTGTGTCTGTTTCTCTGCCTGGTCTGTTCCTGTGTGTGTCTGTTTCTCTGGTCCCTGTGTGTCTGTTTCTCTGGTCCCTGTGTGTCTGTTTCTCTGGTCCCTGTGTGTCTGTTTCTCTGGTCCCTGTGTGTCTGTTTCTCTGGTCCCTGTGTGTCTGTTTCTCTGGTCCCTGTGTGTCTGTTTCTCTGGTCCCTGTGTGTCTGTTTCTCTGGTCCCGTGTGTCTGTTTCTCTGGTCCCTGTGTGTCTGTTTCTCTGGTCCCTGGTGTCTGTTTCTCTGGTCCCTGTGTGTCTGTTTTCTCTGGTCCCTGTGTGCCTGTTTCTCTGGTCCCTGTGTGTCTGTTTCTCTGGTCCCTGTGTGTCTGTTTCTCTGGTCCCTGTGTGTCTGTTTCTCTGGTCCCTGTGTGTCTGTTTCTCTGGTCCCTGTGTCTGTTTCTCTGGTCCCTGTGTGTCTGTTTCTCTGGTCCCTGTGTGTCTGTTTCTCTGGTCCCTGTGTCTGTTTCTCTGGTCCCTGTGTGCCTGTTTCTCTGGTCCCTGTGTGTCTGTTTCTCTGGTCCCTGTGTGTCTGTTTCTCTGGTCCCTGTGTGCCTGTTTCTCTGGTCCCTGTGTGCCTGTTTCTCTGGTCCCTGTGTGCCTGTTTCTCTGGTCCCTGTGTGCCTGTTTCTCTGGTCCCTGTGTGTCTGTTTCTCTGGTCCCTGTGTGTCTGTTTCTCTGGTCCCTGTGTGTCTGTTTCTCTGGTCCCTGTGTGTCTGTTTCTCTGGTCCCTGTGTCTGTTTCTCTGGTCCCTGTGTGCCTGTTTCTCTGGTCCCTGTGTCTTCATAATGAAGCGATGAAGGTTTTTTTGGTGAGATTTGATGGAGATGAGAGCGGAGGAAACAGGAGGCAGAAACTTTGTTACTGTTCTTTCTGATGAGCGTAGCATAGCGTAGCATAGCGTAGCATAGCGTAGCTTAGCGTAGCTTAGCGTAGCTTAGTGCATTTTTTAACACATCTTTGTGCCAAACCACAATAGCTCCAGTCCCCTCCTCCAGAGGAAGCCAAGAAAACCAAAATAAAGCCAATTATATTCAAGCTGTATTTCAAAGCAAGTGTGTTTAACACATAACTAAATCAACATTGTCATAATTAATTATTAAAATGAGGCTAGATGTGTCCATACAGATGCCTGAGCAAAAACATGGAGACAAAGTTACAGAGCGCATTTCACAGACCAAGGTCACACAAACCGCTTTACAAATCTTTCTGTTACACTGTTGTGTAACTATTCAGTTTGTATTCACGTCAGAATGTTGTTTAATGAAGGCCCACTTACACATTTATCCTTGGTTTAGCACTGAGTGAAAGTGTATTAATGACGACTGAAGGAGTCCTAAAAGGCATAATACCAAAGCTCATGATCAGATTTGTAGTTATAGGTTCTTGGCCCCATCGGCCGCATGCTCCACACCGTGTCAGCCTCCATTAAGTCAGTGCCATAAAGGACAGATGACGGCGAGAGCTTTCAGAGTCGGCCTTGCCAGCCTCCCGTCCCCATGGCAACCGTATCCCGAGCAGCGAGCGCCGTGATGGGACACCAGGAAATGCACACCGTGTGTGGTTAGTGATTGTGACATCATTGGAGTGAGTCACTGATGGTTTGTTCAGGTGTTGTGTGCTTTAAAACACACAACCATCTGTCACTGGGATGAGGTCGGTGTAAACGCCTTTTACTCCCAACGATTCAAGTATGTGCTGGGTTTAGGTCTGAGGCCCCCTGTGGCCGCTCAGAGACACTGCAGGAGCTGCCAAAGAGTTCTCCACATAAATAGTAAAAAACACTGGGAATTTAAAATATAAGAAGTAAGGTCCAAACTTTGGGAACCACTGTGGCCCCGGTTCACTTTAGCATTTATGTTTGTTAATGTTTGCTTCCAGTTCTCAGTGAATAATCCCAGTCCATACGGAGGTGACATGTTAGCCTGAAGTCACAAGGACAATCTACATTTAGTTAGAAATACTTTCATACAAACTGAAAGTTTTTCTACATTCTCCTAAAACTAGTCTTTTTAAGACAATAAAACTACCCTTTCTCTTAGAAATTGTATTAAAACCAAATGAGAAGAATAATAAGTAAGGCAGTACATGTTCTGTGACATGTGTCTCCACAGTGGTCAGCAGGTCTGTGTGGATGGTTCAGGGTTAGGGTTACAACAGACTGTGTCTGCGACTGCGACTGCGTCTGCCGACTGCGTCTGCGTCTGCCGACTGCGTCTGCGACTGCGTCTGCGTCTGCGACTGCGACTGCGTCTGCGACTGCGACTGCGTCTGCGACTGCGTCTGCGTCTGCGTCTGCCGACTGCGTCTGCGACTGCGTCTGCGTCTGCAACTGCGACTGCGTCTGCGACTGCGTCTGCGTCTGCGACTGCAGCTGCGTCTGCCGACTGCAGCTGCGTCTGCCGACTGCGACTGCGTCTGCGACTGCAACTGCGTCTGCGTCTGGTCTGCGACTGCGACTTCGTCTGCGACTGCAGCTGCGTCTGCCGACTGCGACTGTGTCTGCGACTGCAACTGCGTCTGCGTCTGCGACTGGTCTGCAACTGGTCTGCGACTGGTCTGCGACTGGTCTGCGACTGGTCTGCGACTGGTCTGCGACTGCAGCTGCGTCTGCCGACTGCGTCTGCGACTGCAACTGCGTCTGCGACTGGTCTGCGACTGCGACTGGTCTGCGACTGCGACTGGTCTGCGTCTGCGACTGCGACTGCGTCTGCCGACTGCGTCTGCGTCTGCGACTGCGTCTGCCGACTGCGTCTGCCGACTGTGTCTGCGACTGCGTCTGCGACTGCGACTGCGTCTGCGTCTGCGACTGCGTCTGCGACTGCGTCAGCGTCTGCGACAGCGTCTGTGACAGCGTCTGCGTCTGCGACTGCGTCTGCGTCTGCAACTGCGTCTGCGACTGCGTCTGCGTCTGCGACTGCGTCTGTGACTGTGTCTGTGACTGTGTCTGTGACTGCGTCTGCAACTGCGTCTGTGTAAATGTAATGTAAAAACTCTGGCTCCAAATCTAAAAGTTGAAGATTGGAGTTTCCTCATGTTTTAGACAAACCTGAACTACACAACATCTGTCCTCTCTCATCTGTCCTCTCACATCTGTCCTCTCTCATCTGTCCTCTCTCATCTGTCCTCTCTCATCTGTCCTCTCACATCTGTCCTCTCTCATCTGTCCTCTCTCATCTGTCCTCTCTCATCTGTCCTCTCACATCTGTCCTCTCTCATCTGTCCTCTCACATCTGTCCTCTCTCATCCGTCCTCTCTCATCTGTCCTCTCTCATCTGTCCTCTCTCATCTGTCCACATCTGTCCTCTCACATCTGTCCTCTCTCATCTGTCCTCTCTCATCTGTCCTCTCACATCTGTCCTCTCTCATCTGTCCACATCTGTCCTCTCACATCTGTCCTCTCTCATCTGTCCTCTCTCATCTGTCCTCTCACATCTGTCCTCTCACATCTGTCCTCTCACATCTGTCCTCTCACATCTGTCCTCTCTCATCTGTCCTCTCTCATCTGTCCTCTCACATCTGTCCTCTCACATCTGTCCTCTCACATCTGTCCTCTCACATCTGTCCTCTCACATCTGTCCTCTCTCATCTGTCCTCTCTCATCTGTCCTCTCACATCTGTCCACATCTGTCCTCTCTCATCTGTCCTCTCACACCTGTCCTCTCACATCTGTCCTCTCTCATCTGTCCTCTCTCATCTGTCCTCTCTCATCTGTCCTCTCACATCTGTCCTCTCACATCTGTCCTCTCACATCTGTCCTCTCTCATCTGTCCACATCTGTCCTCTCTCATCTGTCCTCTCTCATCTGTCCTCTCACATCTGTCCTCTCTCATCTGTCCTCTCTCCTCTCACATCTGTCCTCTCTCCTCTCACATCTGTCCTCTCTGATCTGTCCTCTCACATCTGTCCTCTCACATCTGTCCTCTCTCATCTGTCCTCTCTCCTCTCACATCTGTCCTCTCACATCTGTCCTCTCTGATCTGTCCTCTCTCATCTGTCCTCTCTCATCTGTCCTCTCACATCTGTCCTCTCTCCTCTCACATCTGTCCTCTCTGATCTGTCCTCTCACATCTGTCCTCTCTCATCTGTCCACATCTGTCCTCTCTGATCTGTCCTCTCTCATCTGTCCTCTCACATCTGTCCTCTCTCCTCTCACATCTGTCCTCTCTCCTCTCACATCTGTCCTCTCACATCTGTCCTCTCTCATCTGTCCACATCTGTCCTCTCTGATCTGTCCTCTCTGATCTGTCCTCTCACATCTGTCCTCTCACATCTGTCCTCTCTCATCTGTCCACATCTGTCCTCTCACATCTGTCCTCTCACATCTGTCCTCTCTCATCTGTCCTCTCACATCTGTCCACATCTGTCCTCTCTCATCTGTCCTCTCTGATCTGTCCTCTCACATCTGTCCACATCTGTCCTCTCTCATCTGTCCTCTCTGATCTGTCCTCTCACATCTGTCCACATCTGTCCTCTCATCAGTGACTCTTGTTAATAATCGTCTCTGAACAGCAGCGTCTCCATCAGGACACACCATAAAGGTTACCATAGCAACTGCATCCCAGCAGCCACAGTCTTTCCTCCAATTAAAGAGGCGCTGAGCGGGAGCAGATATTCACTGATGAAAGCACTAATTACTTAAGTCCGCACAGACTTGATAATCCTCAACACGACAAAATACAATATAATAAAAACATGGAATACTTTACTCTTCCCTCTGAGTAAATACTCACCACTCGGATAGAGAAGTAGTTCATACTTTACTCTTCCCTCTGAGTAAATACTCACCACTCGGATAGAGAAGTAGTTCATACTTTACTCTTCCCTCTGAGTAAATACTCATCACTCCGATAGAGAAGTAGTTCATACTTTACTCTTCCCTCTGAGTAAATACTCACCACTCCGATAGAGAAGTAGTTGTTGACGATGCTGTAGGGCACTGGGTCTCCCTTCTCCTCTTTGTCGTCGGGGACGATGTGGATGTTCCAACGATCCAACAGCACTTCTGTGCTGTGCTCGATGTCCCGGAGGAACTTCAGCAAACTGCCGCCCTCGTAGCCTGCAGAGAGTTTTTATGGAAATGTGACCAAAAAGATGTGGAGAGGAGAAAGTAATGAATAAGAGAGATGATGATTGAACAATTGGGCAAAATAAAGCAAAGGAAGTCATAAAAATGAAATCAAATGTTATTGGTGCAACACCATCTACACAGGACTGCTTCCATGACGACTTATTGACAAAGTGAATTCAAAAGCTTTGGTTGGAGCTTGAAGAATCAAACAGTTATTATTGCCCGACTGAGGCACTCAACGATTACAAACCATTTACTGCACACTTTGCAGATTAACATTTCATTATTTCTTCTGTATTTCCTGTCTGAATGTGTTGTTCTCTAAAGTACATTGTGTTCTTGTGCTACTCAAAAAGAAATGACATCGAAGGTTGTACCAAATAGATTTGAAAACATACCTCCTCCCCAGCGTAAGCAGCGAGCCAAGTCATTGCCGGTGCCCAGAGGCAGCACGGCCACCGCGGGGGGTCTGGCAAAGTTGGCCTTGTCTGAAAAACAAACAGAACGTCCTGAGAATTCATTTGGCATCATTCTACAACTTCAATATATTATGTTCTGGAAGAATTACAATCTTGAAACAGATGGTCTACGTCTGTGATTAATTAAGTTTATAGTTAACATATTTGCATGCTAAGATTTGGTAGTTATAAATAAATAAATAAAGTTTCATATTACCGATGCAGTCCAGGATCCAGCCCACAGTCCCGTCTCCTCCACAGGCCAGCACCCGGAAGTCTGGGACATCATGGAAGAAGTTCAGCCTGAAGGAACAGAAGTATGATGGATTATGGAGATGCATTCAATAAAAACGGAAAAGTACAGCGTCAGAATATTCACTAAAGTAATTAAGAGTAACGCTTCTAACTTGAAAAACATGCATTTTGTGTGAATGAAAAATAAAAAAGGAAGATAAAGAGTGTATTGGATGAATATGTTTCGTCTGTGGTTGTACGTACTTAAAAGGGACCTTTAATGTTGGCACAAAGGTGTGGGCGGAGCTTTATTTTACCACCGTAATCAGATTATTCACAGATTATTCACAGATTATTCATTATTCATTAATTTAATTTAAAACTAGATTATCCACTTTAAGAGTCAATCTGTCATCAGGGGCTAGTGTCTCTGTCATCAGGAGCTAGTGTCTCTGTAGAGGCGTCATCAGGAGCTAGTGTCTCTGTCATCAGGAGCTAGTGTCTCTGTCATCAGGTGCTAGTGTCTCTGTAGAGCATTCATCAGGAGCTAGTGTCTCTGTAGAGCAGTCCTCAGGAGCTAGTGTCTCTGTCATCAGGAGCTAGTGTCTCTGTAGAGGCGTCATCAGGAGCTAGTGTCTCTGTCATCAGGAGCTAGTGTCTCTGTCATCAGGTGCTAGTGTCTCTGTAGAGCATTCATCAGGAGCTAGTGTCTCTGTAGAGCAGTCCTCAGGAGCTAGTGTCTCTGTCATCAGGAGCTAGTGTCTCTGTAGAGGCGTCATCAGGAGCTAGTGTCTCTGTCATCAGGAGCTAGTGTCTCTGTCATCAGGTGCTAGTGTCTCTGTAGAGCATTCATCAGGAGCTAGTGTCTCTGTAGAGCAGTCCTCAGGAGCTAGTGTCTCTGTCATCAGGTGCTAGTGTCTCTGTAGAGGCGTCATCAGGAGCTAGTGTCTCTGTCATCAGGAGCTAGTGTCTCTGTAGAGCATTCATCAGGAGCTAGTGTCTCTGTAGAGCAGTCCTCAGGAGCTAGTGTCTCTGTCATCAGGTGCTAGTGTCTCTGTAGAGGCGTCATCAGGAGCTAGTGTCTCTGTCATCAGGAGCTAGTGTCTCTGTCATCAGGTGCTAGTGTCTCTGTAGAGCATTCATCAGGAGCTAGTGTCTCTGTAGAGCAGTCCTCAGGAGCTAGTGTCTCTGTCATCAGGTGCTAGTGTCTCTGTAGAGCATTCATCAGGAGCTAGTGTCTCTGTAGAGCAGTCCTCAGGAGCTAGTGTCTCTGTAGAGCAGTCCTCAGGAGCTAGTGTCTCTGTAGAGGCGTCATCAGGAGCTAGTGTCTCTGTAGAGGCGTCATCAAGAGCTAGTGTCTCTGTAGAGGCGTCATCAGGAGCTAGTGTCTCTGTAGAGGCGTCATCAAGAGGTAGTGTCTCTGTCATCAGGAGCGAGTGTCTCTGTAGAGCAGTCATCAGGGGCTCATGCCAGTTACATGTTAGCATGTGTTAGCTGCATTAGCCCCATTCATTTAACGAGAGCATTCTGAAGTCCACAGCAGCTAAACTAGACTAGCTAAACTAGACTAGCTAACACCTCGAGAACCAAGAGCCACTTTTGGACCATTCTGTGGAACCGTTTGAGAGTAAAGAAGAGGTCATAAGAGCATTGGGTAATTCTGGTTCCGGGTACACCCCCACCAGGTGCTCATGGACCGTTTGGCCCCGCCCCCTCTGGTTTTAATGATTCATGATGTAAGACTCACCCCACCATGGGTCCGCCTTGGTCCAGAGTGTAGACCTGCCTGGGATTCAGCAAGTACCTGAACTTCCTGAGGACCCTGAAAGTAAACAAGAGCACGGTTACTTTAAAGCACTTTAAAGCACTTTAAAGCACTTTATACAATGACACGAAGCACATGAAGACACAAACACAAAGGATTAGTTTTGGTCGTTGCTCTCACACTGATGTTAGTGTTAAAGTGTTACACAATCTACTCCAGAACCACTAATCATTCTCTACAAAACCACGTGTTGAAAATGTCAGGTTAAAAATGAATAAAGTCCAACGACCAAAGCCTCAAAGAAAACAAAGAAGACACTTTGTGCGTTTGTGTGAAAAGTGCCCAAACTCAAATGGTTTTATTCATTTAAAGATTGTAAAACTAATTAACTCCGAGGACGATTACACAGAGTACAGAGGAGTTATACAGGACTTTGTGGACTGGTGTCAGCGGAACCACCTCCTCATCAACGTGAGGAAGACCAAGGAGATGAACCACCTCCTCATCAACGTGAGGAAGACCAAGGAGATGAACCACCTCCTCATCAACGTGAGGAAGACCAAGGAGATGAACCACCTCCTCATCAACGTGAGGAAGACCAAGGAGATGAACCACCTCCTCATCAACGTGAGGAAGACCAAGGAGATGAACCACCTCTTCATCAACGTGAGGAAGACCAAGGAGATGAACCACCTCCTCATCAACGTGAGGAAGACCAAGGAGATGAACCACCTCCTCATCAACGTGAGGAAGACCAAGGAGATGAACCACCTCCTCATTAACGTGAGGAAGACCAAGGAGATGAACCACCTCCTCATCAACGTGAGGAAGACCAAGGAGATGAACCACCTCCTCATCAACGTGAGGAAGACCAAGGAGATGAACCACCTCCTCATCAACGTGAGGAAGACCAAGGAGATGAACCACCTCCTCATCAACGTGAGGAAGACCAAGGAGATGAACCACCTCCTCATCAACGTGAGGAAGACCAAGGAGATGAACCACCTCTTCATCAGCGCGGGGAAGACCAAGGAGATGGTGGTGGATTTCCGTAGACGTCATTCTGCCGCTCCAGCTCCAGTGAACATCCAGGGAAAGGACATCGAGAGAGTGGACTCTTACAAGTACCTGGGTGTTCATGTGAATCACAAACTGGACTGGACTCATAACACAGACGCCCTCTTCAAGAAGGGCCAGAGTCGCCTCTACCTGCTGAGGAGGCTCAGGTCTTTTGGAGTGCAGGGGCCACTCCTGAAGACCTTCTATGACTCTGTGGTGGAGCCTCTTGTACGGTGTGGTCTGCTGGAACAGCAGCATCACAGAGAAGGACAGGAAGAAGCTGGAACATCAGGAAGTCCAGCTCAGTCCTGGGCTGTTCCTTGGACACAGTGCAGCAGGTGGGGGACAGGAGGGTCCTGAGCAAACTAACATCTATGCTGGACCATGACTGTCGCCCCCTGCAGGACACTCTCTCTGCTCTGGAGAGCAGCTTCAGTGACAGACTAATTCACCCTCGCTGTGTGAAGGAGAGGTTCTGTAGGTCTTTCCTTCCTGCTGCTGTCAGACTGTACAATAAGAACTGCTGAGCCTGTAAATGTCATTCATCTGTAATTAAGTAAATTCTTAAATCATGTGCAATGTGCAATACTGCAACTTCAGAATGTCACAGAACAATGTCTCTTTACCTCATGTCACTTTACTTATATACTTTTATCCTGCACTATTTAACTGTACAGTATATAACTGCACTACTACATATATATATTTTGACTGGTATTGAAGCATTTTCAGCATCTACAGCTAGTTATGTTAGCTAAGAAACATAGCTAATACTTATTTGTTTATAGTGTATATATTGTGTGTGATCCCTGTGCGCTCTTACTACTGTCCTGTCTGTGCGATGCAACATCGACATTTCCCCACTGTGGGACGAATAAAGGAATTCTTATCTTATCTTAAACATTATCACTCATTGTTAGAGGTTGTAATATTTAACGCAGCTGGCACTGGGTCTGCAAATGTGATCATGCTGACTATAGTTTAATAATATAATACATATAATAATAATATAATATATATAATAATATTACTATAATACATATAATAATAATAAAATAATAATAATAATATAATACATATGATAATAATAATATAATAATAATAATAATAATAAAATAATAATAATAATATAATAATAATATAATAATAATAATAATATATTACATATAATAATAATAATATAATAATAATACTATAATACATATAATAATAATACTATAATACATATTAACTTGGGTGGCATCTCTGACTGCCACCCCCCCAACCCAGAAATGGATTAAGGGGTAGAAAATGGATGTATGGATGGATAATACATATAATAATAATAATAATAATATAATACATATAATAATAATAATAATAATAATAATAATAATAATAATAATAATAATAATAATATAATAATAATACTATAATACATATAATAATAATAATATAATAAAAATACTATAATACATATAATAATAATAATATAACATATATATTAATAATAATATAATACATATAATAATAATAATAATAATATAATAGCATGTTGGTCCTGGCAGTCCTAATGGCAGCTGTGGATGAGGTTCGTTATCTACTCTGAAGGTAAAACTGCACATTCTTCTTGCAAAAATAACCTGGTGCATGTAAATTCCTGGGCTGCCTTCCATGAACTGTACATCTCTCTAAAAGAGCTCAATTATGTTATAATTTTAGAAAAGAAAACGCGTTTAATTGACAATATATGAATAAGTGTGATGTATTATTATTATTATTATGTAGCTTCAACGTCCATGAAAAGATAACAGAGCAAAGATTTGAGTTAAAAGGATTTTGGGTCTTGGCATATCTATTATTAGCTATGTTAGCTAGCTATGTTGCTATGGTAACGTGTCAGGCTGAGGTGGAGCAGGCTGCAGCAGTCACTGAAGACATGAATTAACTGGAGGCAGGATCGACTTTGACAGCGATAAAAGACTGTGTTTAGCCCAAACAAAGCAGACGCAGAACAACAGGGCTATAACCAAAGGCTGATAATGGAAATACACTTTTATCCAATATCCTCCGATAGTCCAGCCCAAAGTGCTTAGGTCCAATAAAGTGTACCTTTCACCTTTAATGTCCACTTTCAGATCCAGAGCTCTGAATGGACCATAACCAAACTCACTCATGTGACGTCGCTGATAAAAGATTTGGATATAAGTCAGTGCAGACCATGATACGGAACTTTTTTATTAGTGGGATCAAATATAATCCTCATAAATTGGCTTTAAAATGTCTTCATAACTACTCTTTCTATCTTTGTACTCGAGTATTATCTACTGGTTCTTTGACTCACCTCTCTCCTTGCCTTCCTCCACTTTTAGGATTGACCATGACCAGCAGCGGGTGAGTCCCGGGCAGTGGCGTGATCTGAACACATAAAACCATGGACTCAATGATGAACCATGTGACTCTGGTGAACCATGTGACTCTGGTGAACCATGTGACTCTGGTGAACCATGTAACTCTGGTGAAGTGGTACTTTACCTGCAGAGCTGTCCGTCACATACAGACATAGACTGACCCTAACCCTCACCTGGGGCCTGTCCGTCACATACAGACATAGACTGACCCTAACCCTCACCTGCAGAGCTGTCCGTCACATACAGACATAGACTGACCCTAACCCTCACCTGCAGAGCTGTTCGTCACATACAGACATAGACTGACCCTAACCCTCACCTGCAGGGCCTGTCCGTCACATACAGACATAGACTGACCCTAACCCTCACCTGCAGAGCCTGTCCGTCACATACAGACATAGACTGACCCTAACCCTCACCTGCAGAGCTGTCCGTCACATACAGACATAGACTGACCCTAACCCTCACCTGCAGGGCCTGTCCGTCACATACAGACATAGACTGACCCTAACCCTCACCTGGGGCCTGTCCGTCACATACAGACATAGACTGACCCTAACCCTCACCTGGGGCCTGTCCGTCACATACAGACATAGACTGACCCTAACCCTCACCTGCAGAGCTGTCCGTCACATACAGACATAGACTGACCCTAACCCTCACCTGCAGGGCCTGTCCGTCACATACAGACATAGACTGACCCTAACCCTCACCTGGGGCCTGTCCGTCACATACAGACATAGACTGACCCTAACCCTCACCTGCAGGGCCTGTCCGTCACATACAGACATAGACTGACCCTAACCCTCACCTGCAGAGCCTGTCCGTCACATACAGACATAGACTGACCCTAACCCTCACCTGGGGCCTGTCCGTCACATACAGACATAGACTGACCCTAACCCTCACCTGCAGAGCCTGTCCGTCACATACAGACATAGACTGACCCTAACCCTCACCTGGGGCCTGTCCGTCACATACAGACATAGACTGACCCTAACCCTCACCTGCAGAGCTGTCCGTCACATACAGACATAGACTGACCCTAACCCTCACCTGCAGGGCCTGTCCGTCACATACAGACATAGACTGACCCTAACCCTCACCTGCAGAGCCTGTCCGTCACATACAGACATAGACTGACCCTAACCCTCACCTGGGGCCTGTCCGTCACATACAGACATAGACTGACCCTAACCCTCACCTGCAGAGCCTGTCCGTCACATACAGACATAGACTGACCCTAACCCTCACCTGGGGCCTGTCCGTCACATACAGACATAGACTGACCCTAACCCTCACCTGCAGAGCTGTCCGTCACATACAGACATAGACTGACCCTAACCCTCACCTGGGGCCTGTCCGTCACATACAGACATAGACTGACCCTAACCCTCACCTGCAGAGCTGTTCGTCACATACAGACATAGACTGACCCTAACCCTCACCTGCAGAGCTGTCCGTCACATACAGACATAGACTGACCCTAACCCTCACCTGCAGAGCCTGTCCGTCACATACAGACATAGACTGACCCTAACCCTCACCTGCAGAGCCTGTCCGTCACATACAGACATAGACTGACCCTAACCCTCACCTGCAGAGCCTGTCCGTCACATACAGACATAGACTGACCCTAACCCTCACCTGGGGCCTGTCCGTCACATACAGACATAGACTGACCCTAACCCTCACCTGCAGGGCCTGTCCGTCACATACAGACATAGACTGACCCTAACCCTCACCTGCAGAGCTGTCCGTCACATACAGACATAGACTGACCCTAACCCTCACCTGCAGAGCTGTCCGTCACATACAGACATAGACTGACCCTAACCCTCACCTGCAGAGCCTGTCCGTCACATACAGACATAGACTGACCCTAACCCTCACCTGCAGAGCCTGTCCGTCACATACAGACATAGACTGACCCTAACCCTCACCTGCAGGGCCTGTCCGTCACATACAGACATAGACTGACCCTAACCCTCACCTGCAGAGCTGTCCGTCACATACAGACATAGACTGACCCTAACCCTCACCTGCAGAGCCTGTCCGTCACATACAGACATAGACTGACCCTAACCCTCACCTGCAGAGCCTGTCCGTCACATACAGACATAGACTGACCCTAACCCTCACCTGGGGCCTGTCCGTCACATACAGACATAGACTGACCCTAACCCTCACCTGCAGGGCCTGTCCGTCACATACAGACATAGACTGACCCTAACCCTCACCTGCAGAGCCGTCCGTCACATACAGACATAGACTGACCCTAACCCTCACCTGCAGAGCTGTCCGTCACATACAGACATAGACTGACCCTAACCCTCACCTGCAGGGCCTGTCCGTCACATACAGACATAGACTGACCCTAACCCTCACCTGCAGAGCTGTCCGTCACATACAGACATAGACTGACCCTAACCCTCACCTGCAGAGCTGTCCGTCACATACAGACATAGACTGACCCTAACCCTCACCTGCAGAGCCTGTCCGTCACATACAGACATAGACTGACCCTAACCCTCACCTGGGGCCTGTCCGTCACATACAGACATAGACTGACCCTAACCCTCACCTGCAGGGCCTGTCCGTCACATACAGACATAGACTGACCCTAACCCTCACCTGCAGAGCCTGTCCGTCACATACAGACATAGACTGACCCTAACCCTCACCTGCAGAGCCTGTCCGTCACATACAGACATAGACTGACCCTAACCCTCACCTGCAGAGCTGTCCGTCACATACAGACATAGACTGACCCTAACCCTCACCTGGGGCCTGTCCGTCACATACAGACATAGACTGACCCTAACCCTCACCTGCAGAGCCTGTCCGTCACATACAGACATAGACTGACCCTAACCCTCACCTGCAGAGCCTGTCCGTCACATACAGACATAGACTGACCCTAACCCTCACCTGCAGAGCTGTCCGTCACATACAGACATAGACTGACCCTAACCCTCACCTGCAGAGCTGTCCGTCACATACAGACATAGACTGACCCTAACCCTCACCTGCAGAGCTGTCCGTCACATACAGACATAGACTGACCCTAACCCTCACCTGGAGCTGTCCGTCACATACAGACATAGACTGACCCTAACCCTCACCTGCAGAGCCTGTCCGTCACATACAGACATAGACTGACCCTAACCCTCACCTGGGGCCTGTCCGTCACATACAGACATAGACTGACCCTAACCCTCACCTGCAGAGCCTGTCCGTCCCCGGGACTGAACTTAAAGGTCTGGGTGATGTCGTCGGGGCTGGTGCTGGGAGGAGAGTCCCCTTCACCGCGCTTCACGACCGAATGACGCTCCTGGAGAAGGTTTAAAGGGAAACGGTTATTTAACTTGTGTGGGGAAAGAAAATAAATGAATACAGAAAGTAATTGAATCAATGGAGATAAAATAATAATGAAGCATAACCCTGGTCCGACCGAACGCTGCACAGTTAAAGTCACTTTACAGTCTTAAAGTTCAGAGTAAAGTAAAAGTAATGATGTTTGTCTGAAGTCCCAAAATAGAGCCATAAACGAGTGTGAAATGGAAACAGGTGCTCGTCATAACTCAAGGCTCTGCCCGCTTCATTCAACCATGGAATAATCAGTTATCAGGTATTCACCAGCTGCGCCCGCTCTGTGAAGGAAAACCATGTGGGTGTCTGTTGTTTGCACACGCTGACCGAAAACACACAACAGCCCACTGTTTGTGTAGACAGAAAACACACAACTACTGGATCAATCTGTGTAGCATCCGTTTCATTTGATTTTATAAATAAAACCAACATTTAATAAACTAGTAACGAGGGATGTTTTTGATTCTCGAGTGAAATATTGGTTTATTTTTTGTTTTCTGTGGATCCAGTTAAAAGGGAAATGCAGTAAAGCAATAATGCCCGCCTCAATTACTTTTTGTGATTTTAATATGAAACACAATAGTTTCGGGGCGACAGTAGCTCAGTTGGTAGAGCACTGGTCTTTGGACCTAATGGTCGTGGGTTCGATCCCACCTCGACCCATGTCAACTGATGTGTCACTGATGTCTGCTGTCGTTGTGTCCCTGGGCAAGACACTTAACCCCAATGTGCCTGAAATCCCCGCTGAAAGACCAAGGCCGCATCTGTGTTGAAGGAGCAGCCATCTTCCCGTGGACCCACCACCTGCAGGAGGATCAGCGAGGGACTGGTGCTATGTGAATTGGGTGGCAGTATCTGATTGCCACCCCCCTGACAGAAATGGAAAATAAAGGGATGTAAATGAAATGAAATGAAATGAAACACAATAGTTTCCCATTTGTTCCTACATGTCACAGATCTACCAAATACACAGTGATGCCCACACCTTAAAGCTGGGGGGCCTGACTTTTTACTGTGATAATAATACAGGTTGTTCTTCCTCAAAAAGTCTTGGTTCTGATCTAAAAGTATGACAGAGGCTGTAGATAAATGCAGGTGAACACGAGTGATCGTGGGAACGAGATGCATTTATTTCAAAGTCCATTTGTTGTGGAGTGAAAGCCGCAGCGTAAAGGCACTTATGAGTCAAGTTTGTGCAGTAGAAGAGAAAGAGTTCTCACCAGTACGACGGGGCAGATGTACGAGGGTAACAGCGTGTGGTCTCTGAGTGCTCCTCCATCACATTCGGGCTTGACGTTAGACGCACACTTATTATGCAGCTATGAAAGAAACAGAAGAAGTGTGGGTGGATCCATCTGTGACACTGAGTCAGACACTAACTGGGACACGCGATAATCTGTCATGTATGTGCAGAGAAAGTACAGTAAAAACATCCAACTTCAAGAACTCTCTGATAAAAGGATTCCAGGTCTAATAATCTACAAATGCAAGACTATAGTGCCATCTGGTGGACACATGAAGCAGTGTAACAGGAGGAGAGTGTGGTTCTAAATGACTCACGGAGATTTGACACCAGACACAGTGCAGTCCTGTCAGGCCCTGGTAACATTTAATACTTCGGTGGCAGCGGTCACATTTTGCCGGAGAGTTCCCCTCCATCCACACGTGCTGCATCGCCTAAAAACAAGAGATTCATGGTTTTTGACACATTGATTGTTTCACTCATTTCATCGAGCTGAGGAGTTAAGGACATTTATTAGTGAGTGCTTCACAACACCATCCAACCCATTCGTCTCTGGAGATATATTCTTCTATACTCTTAGGTTAAAGATGATAGGAGCAAACTTATTATATGATTTTATATGATATGATTATCTGGGCTTTTTCCAATAATGCTTATTTTTTATCACATGGCACTGTACTATCATGTAAAATAAGTATTTTTCCAAAGTAATGCATTTCCAATAGTGCCTCCTTTTGACAAAACTATGACCAGAGGGATTTGCTGGAGGAGAAAAGTTCAACAAAATTGATTCGAATTATTTGTTGTCGGATCAGGAAGCTGAGAGATGAAACTGTGCTCCTGGAGATGTAAGAAAACACTTTCTGCAGTAGAAGCTGTAACTCTGTCCAGTTTAACTGACAAACAATAAATACAGAAACGTGAAACATGAACCCATCGTTATGAACACATGAAATGAACCCATGAAATGAACACATGAAATGAACACATGACTTACGTTGGTGTGTCGGCGAGACTTGGCGTAGGTGCTGATGCAGGCGGCGATGTCTTTGGACACGCAGCGTTCATGCACCGTGTATTTGCATACTGCAGAAACAGAGAAACACGTTTGGGTTCAGGCCCTTTTTGTTCCATCACAATCCTCTGTGATGTCACTCAAACAAAACAGTAAAACAATGGTCCCCAAGTCCCCGGCCCAGGACCTGAATAAATATTATTTTATTTTATCTATTAGTCTGAATAATCTTCTCTCCTCACACCTTGGTCACGTTACACAGTTAAATATCTGACAATCAGGAGAAGTGTTCTTCCACCGCGCTCAGGAAAACATGCAGGAAGAATGTCCTACACGTAGGCGTCTGTACGGAGCATTAATGAAGTATGTCCTACATGTAGGCGTCTGTACGGAGCATTAATGAAGTATGTCCTACATGTAGGCGTCTGTACGGAGCATTAATGAAGTATGTCCTACATGTAGGAGTCTGTACGGAGCATTAATGAAGTATGTCCTACATGTAGGCGTCTGTACGGAGCATAAATGAAGTATGTCCTACATGTAGGCGTCTGTACGGAGCATTAATGAAGTATGTCCTACATGTAGGCGTCTGTACGGAGCATTAATGAAGTATGTCCTACATGTAGGCGTCTGTACGGAGCATTAATGAAGTATGTACTACATGTAGGCGTCTGTACGGAGCATTAATGAAGTGTGTCCTACACGTAGGCGTCTGTACGGAGCATTAATGAAGTATGTCCTACATGTAGGCGTCTGTACGGAGCATTAATGAAGTATGTCCTACATGTAGGCGCCTGTACGGAGCATTAATGAAGTATGTCCTACATGTAGGCGTCTGTACGGAGCATTAATGAAGTATGTCCTACATGTAGGCGTCTGTACGGAGCATAAATGAAGTGTGTCCTACACGTAGGCGTCTGTACGGAGCATTAATGAAGTATGTCCTACATGTAGGCGCCTGTACGGAGCATTAATGAAGTATGTCCTACACGTAGGCGTCTGTACGGAGCATTAATGAAGTATGTCCTACATGTAGGCGTCTGTACGGAGCATAAATGAAGTATGTCCTACACGTAGGCGTCTGTACGGAGCATTAATGAAGTATGTCCTACATGTGGGCGTCTGTACGGAGCATTAATGAAGTATGTCCTACATGTAGGCGTCTGTACGGAGCATTAATGAAGTGTGTCCTACATGTAGGCGTCTGTACGGAGCATTAATGAAGTATGTCCTACATGTAGGCGTCTGTACGGAGCATTAATGAAGTATGTCCTACATGTAGGCGTCTGTACGGAGCATTAATGAAGTATGTCCTACACGTAGGCGTCTGTACGGAGCATTAATGAAGTATGTCCTACATGTAGGCGTCTGTACGGAGCATTAATGAAGTATGTCCTACATGTAGGCGTCTGTACGGAGCATTAATGAAGTATGTCCTACATGTAGGCGTCTGTACGGAGCATTAATGAAGTATGTCCTACATGTAGGCGTCTGTACGGAGCATTAATGAAGTATGTCCTACATGTGGGCGTCTGTACGGAGCATTAATGAAGTATGTCCTACATGTAGGCGTCTGTACGGAGCATTAATGAAGTATGTCCTACATGTGGGCGTCTGTACGGAGCATTAATGAAGTGTGTCCTACATGTAGGCGTCTGTACGGAGCATTAATGAAGTATGTCCTACATGTGGGCGTCTGTACGGAGCATTAATGAAGTATGTCCTACATGTGGGCGTCTGTACGGAGCATTAATGAAGTGTGTCCTACACGTAGGCGTCTGTACGGAGCATTAATGAAGTATGTCCTACATGTAGGCGTCTGTACGGAGCATTAATGAAGTGTGTCTACACGTAGGCGTCTGTACGGAGCATTAATGAAGTGTGTCCTACATGTAGGCGTCTGTACGGAGCATTAATGAAGTGTGTCCTACACGTAGGCCTCTGTACGGAGGAGCCAGGACAGTGAAACTCGACCAACACTGTTTGTGTTTTGCAGATTCTTTTTGATTGAACCCTGGATACATTTGGTTGAAACTTGGACTTTCATAGACTTTGTTGCACAAAAGACTGTTCTCAATAAAGTCAGTGCTTTGATGAATCCATTAAAATATTGTGTGTGGCTCAAACAGCGGCAGTGTAAGAATGAAGAGAAGCCCAGAACAGTGGATAGAGGAGGGTCTTACAGGAGCAGCACAGGCCCTGCTTGCGGACCCCCAGCAGCATGGTCTGGCAGTAGTTACAGTATGCAGGTTTATTGAAGTGCTTCAGACGCCACACGTGCTGCCCGTCCTCCTGAACATTCTGTGAAAGACAAGCACTCATCAACACTACTTAGTGTTAATTATCTATAATTATCTATAATATAGCCCCCTCCTACGGTCTTGGTCTAACAACTGTCACTAAGATTTGAAAGAGGAGAATAGTTAGACCAATAAACCCACACTGTGGGAGTGAGTATGGGCGGTCCATGGGCGGTCCATGGGCGGTCCATGGGTAGTCCATGGGCGGTCCATGGGCGGTCCATGGGCGGTCCATGGGCGGTCCATGGGCGGTCCATGGGTAGTCCATGGGCGGTCCTTGGGCGGTCCTTGGGCGGGCGGTCCATGGCCAAGGAGGAAAGGCCAAATATAATGTCTCACAAATAAGAAATAACCAATATTAAATATTAGACTAAGTGGTCTTACGATGTCCGTGCCCAGTAAGACCAGTACTTACGATGTCCGTGCCCAGTAAGACCAGTACTTACGATGTCCATGCCCAGTAAGACCAGTACTTACGATGTCCATGCCCAGTAAGACCAGTACTTACGATGTCCGTGCCCAGTAAGACCAGTACTTACGATGTCCATGCCCAGTAAGACCAGTACTTACGATGTCCATGCCCAGTAAGACCAGTACTTACGATGTCCGTGCCCAGTAAGACCAGTACTTACGATGTCCATGCCCAGTAAGACCAGTACTTACGATGTCCATGCCCAGTAAGACCAGTAAAGGGATCGTAGTGAGGCCTCCTCGGATCCACTCCTCCAGCGTCACCGTCCCGTCTCTGTCGAAGTCTATCTCCTCCATCATCTCCTTCAGAATCTGCAAAACAATCAGGATCAACACATATACATACAGTATATATACATATACATATTTAAATATATACATGTATACACACACACATATATATATATATATATATATATATATATATATATATATATATATATATATATATATATATATATATATATATATATATATATATATATATATATATATATATATATATATATATATATATATATATATATATATATATATATATATAATGTAGCTGGATAGCTCAGTTGGTAGGGCACAGGACTGGGACCTGGGAGGCCAGGGTTCGAATCCCACCGGGAGCACATTAACACCAACATCCAGTGTGGGTCCTTGGGCAAGACCCTTAATGCTACTGCCTAACTCATAACCATGAAGGTACAAATAAGCAATGAGATGCCGGATCAGCCGTCGCCCGGCCAAACAAGGTCTGCGTCAGGTGCTGGGGAACCAGAGCACCTTGATGAAAAGTGGGCTACTGGAACAAGGCGAAAGTGGACGAGATGCGATAACAGGGCTCTGTTGGAATGCTACTACTCGAGTAACCCTGGCCAAAGAGGTTACATGCAGAGAATGTGGGCTGAATGGTTACTTCGAAACCCACAGTCACAGTTGACCCCGAAACAACTGGTAGCTCAATGCTCCAACATCCACAAACGGCAACTGCTATCACAGCTTGAGATTGATGAGGTACAACACATGTATGATGCCACAGTTGCCGAGGTCAGAGGGGAGATCCCACCAACTGCAACTCCCCAACCAGATATTGGGTACATAGCCCCAATGGAACCGATAACGCTGAACGAGGCAGCGACTGACCTGAAAGCTAAGATCATGGCTAGAATGGGCACAGGGCAAAGACACCGGTTACAGCGGTTGTGTGAAGTACCACCTAAGGATCTCATAGAAAGCGTGAATGCAGCAGTGAGGGCAATACCTACCACCACAATCACTGAAACCAATGAGCTGATATACACTTTCAGCAGCAGTGATCCTAGAGATGCTTGGCTATAAGAGCAACCATGGGAGCCATGGACAATACCCACCATGGAAAAGACGGTTGGAGGCTAAGATCAAGGCGGCTCGGAGAGAAGTGAGTCAATTAACAGAGGCCCAGAGAGGTGCAATGAAAAGACCAGTACCCAGAAAGTACAGCCAGATGACCATACCTGAAGCACTCGAAACTGCCAAACAAAGGCTCCAAGCCCTGGCCAGCCGCCTACAGAGGTACACTAAAGAGAATGAAGCCAGAAGGGTGAACAGGCTGTTCGCAACACAACCTGCGAAGGTGTACGCTCAGTGGCAGGGTAACAACAGGGGAGCAGATCCACCGAGGCTGGAAACTGAACAGTTCTGGAGGAACATATGGGAGAAGGATGCAGCACATAACAGAAGTGCACAATGGCTGGTGTCCCTGAGAGAGGAGCACAGCCACCTCCCAGAACAGAACTCAGTTACCATCACAGAGGCAGACATCCGAGAAAGAGTTTCAGGTATGAAAAACTGGACAGCACCTGGCCCTGATATGGTCCATGCCTACTGGCTAAGGACACTCACATCACTCCATGAGCGCCTAGCAGCACAAATGAACCAGCTGCTGAGAGATGGGACTCACCCAGAATGGCTAACCGAAGGGCGAACGGTCCTGATCATGAAGGACCCTGTCAAGGGTGCAGTCCCCTCCAATTACCGGCCAATAACCTGTCTCTCCACAACATGGAAGCTCATGTCAGGCATCATTGCGGCTAAGATAAGTGGGCATATGGAACAATTCATGAGCACAGCACAGAAGGGCATTGGTAGGGACACCAGAGGAGCCAAACACCAGCTCCTGGTTGACAGAACAGTCGCCCAAGACTGCCGGTCACGACACACCAACCTGTGCACAGCCTGGATTGATTACCAGAAAGCCTACGACTCAATGCCACACACATGGATCATGGAATGCTTGAAGTTGTACAATATCAACAGGGCTCTAAGGGACTTCGTTGCAAACTCGATGGGAATGTGGAAGACTACCCTTGAGGCAAATGGCAAGCCGCTCGCACAAGTGACCATCAAATGTGGTATCTACCAAGGAGATGCTCTGTCCCCACTACTGTTCTGCATAGGCCTCAACCCTCTAAGCCAAGTAATTGACCAGACTGGCTATGGATACCGCCTCAGGAACGGAGCAAAGATCAGTCACCTCCTCTACATGGATGACATCAAGCTGTACGCCAAGAGCGAGAGAGACATCGACTCTCTGATCCAAACAACCAGGATCTACAGCCATGACATCGGGATGTCATTCGGGCTCGAGAAATGTAGCAGGATGGTGACTCGGAGAGGCAAGGTAGTCCACACAGAAGGGATCTCACTCCCAGAGGGAACAATAGCAGACGTTGAGGACAGTTACAAGTATCTCGGTATACCACAGGCAAATGGCAACCTCGAACAGGTGACGAGGAAAGCGGCAACTGCCAAATACCTCCAGCGAGTAAGGCAGGTCCTAAGAAGCCGGCTCAATGGCAAGAACAAGGCCCGGGCAATTAACAGCTACGCCCTGCCAGTGATCAGATACCCTGCAGGAATAATCAGGTGGCCAAAGGAAGAGATTCAGACCACGGATGTTAAAACTCGAAAGCTCCTTACCATGCATGGCGGGTTCCATCCCAAATCCAGCACCCTGAGACTGTACGTAAGCCGTAAAGAAGGAGGCCGAGGACTAGTGAGTGTGAGAGCCACTGTCCAGGACGAAACATCCAAACTCCATAACTACATCATGGAGAAGGCCAAAACGGATGACGTACTCAGTGAATGTCTCAGGCAGTGGCGAGATGAGGAGGTGCTGGAGGAGAGCCCATCATGGGAGAACAAGCCCCTACACGGCATGTACCACCGGAGCATAACAGAAGTGGCTGATCTCAAGAAGTCCTACCAATGGCTAGAAAGGGCTGGCCTACAGGACAGCACAGAGGCACTCATCATGGCTGCACAGGAACAGGCACTGAGCACCAGAGCGATAGAGGCCCAGATATACCACACCAGACAAGACCCAAGGTGTCGGTTGTGCAAAGAGGCACCTGAGACGATCCAACACATAACTGCAGGGTGCAAGATGCTGGCAGGGAAGGCCTACATGGAACGCCAAACCAAGTGGCTGGCATAGTGTACAGAAACATCTGTGGAGAGTATGGGCTGGAAACCCCAAGGTCTAAGAAACTCCTCCAAAGGTGGTGGAGAATGAGCGTGCGAAGATCCTGTGGGACTTCCAGATACAGACCGACCGAATGGTAATGAACCAACCTGACATCGTGGTGGTGGACAAAGGACAGAGGACAGCCGTGGTGGTGGACAAAGGGCAGAGGACAGCCGTGGTGGTGGACGTGGCAATTCCAAGCGATGGTAACATCCGGAAAAAAGAACATGAAAAGCTTGAGAAATACCAAGGTCTCAGAGAGGAGCTGGAGAGGGCCTGGAGGGTAAAGGTGACAGTAGTGCCCGTGGTGATCGGTGCACTCGGGGCAGTGACCCCGAAGCTAGATGAGTGGTTACAGCGGATCCCCGGAACAACCTCGGACATCTCGGTCCAGAAATGTGCAGTGCTAGGAACAGCAAAGATACTGCGCAGAACCCTCAAGCTCCCAGGCCTCTGGTAGCCCCGAGCTTAGAGAGGGATAACCGCCCGCGGAGGGCCAAAGGTGAGTGGACAATTTTTTTTTTATATATATATATACATATACATTTTATATATATACATGTATACACACATATATATATATATGTGTGTATACATGTATATATTTAAATATGTATATTATATATATATATATATATATATATATATATATATATATATATATATATATATATATATATATATATATATATATATATATATATATATATATATATATATATATATATATATATATATATATAAATATATATGTACACACACACATGTATATGGACTCACCGGTCTCAGTTTCTGTGGAGTCCCACTCCAGATACTCCGCAACATGAACCATCTGATTGATGATGCGATCCAACTCCTACAGAAAACATAAATATATAATTAGTTAATATCATATTGCATTAATGACTTGAAGGGAAAAAAACAAGCTTATCAAACATGAAAAGATGGAGCAGCGCTTCAAACCAGCCATGAACATATCTCAATATACTGTAATCAATGAAAATAGGATAAAAACTATTGATACATTCATGGATCTGCTCCAGTCTGTCTTAAACACAAACTTATCCTTATTTAGAATTTGTGTAAAACATTAGACGTATCCTTTACGATTAATATGAATATTTTAGTTTCCCGTACATTAATGTTGGTCTTGTGAAACATCTTTCTTTAGGTTTTAATGATATTTATTAAAGTATTTTTAAGGTTTTCTTTGAGGGAAGTTTATTTGCAGCTCATGTCTCACTTATTTTGTCTTTAATTCATAACTTCTCTTTCAAAACAAAATGAGCACATGTTGAACTTAGACCTGGTATTGCAGACCGATAGAACAAGCGTTTACAGTATATAAAATACATTATGGATTCAGTGTCTATAATTATATAAACGATGTGATTGTTCTTTGACAGAATTAGCTTAAAGATGATGATTGATAATAACACAGTAATATAAAGAGCCCACATGGCTCCATGACCCTGGTTGGAAATATAATAATAATTCATTAGTTTAGTGCTTATAGTATTTAAATAGACATTTAAAAATGTCCTTTGTATTGATCCTAAGTTTCATAGATGATGTTTATAAGAATAACAACAATTAGCTGCGTCACCTGGACAGACACGTGTTAGTGTTCCGTGACCTCAGTCCGTGACCTCAGTCTGTGACCTCAGTCTGTGACCTCAGTCTGTGACGTCAGTCTGTGACCTCAGTCTGTGACGTCAGTCCGTGACGTCAGTCTGTGACGTCAGTCCGTGACCTCAGTCTGTGACGTCAGTCCGTGACCTCAGTCTGTGACGTCAGTCTGTGACCTCAGTCTGTGACGTCAGTCCGTGACGTCAGTCTGTGACCTCAGTCTGTGACGTCAGTCCGTGACGTCAGTCTATGACCTCAGTCCGTGACGTCAGTCTGTGACGTCAGTCCGTGACCTCAGTCTGTGACGTCAGTCCGTGACCTCAGTCTGTGACGTCAGTCCGTGACGTCAGTCTGTGACCTCAGTCTGTGACGTCAGTCTGTGACCTCAGTCTGTGACGTCAGTCTGTGACCTCAGTCCGTGACGTCAGTCTGTGACCTCAGTCCGTGACGTCAGTCTGTGACCTCAGTCTGTGACGTCAGTCCGTGACCTCAGTCTGTGACGTCAGTCCGTGACGTCAGTCTGTGACCTCAGTCTGTGACGTCAGTCTGTGACCTCAGTCTGTGACGTCAGTCTGTGACCTCAGTCCGTGACGTCAGTCTGTGACCTCAGTCCGTGACGTCAGTCTGTGACCTCAGTCTGTGACGTCAGTCCGTGACGTCAGTCTGTGACCTCAGTCCGTGACGTCAGTCTGTGACGTCAGTCCGTGACGTCAGTCTGTGACCTCAGTCCGTGACGTCAGTCTGTGACGTCAGTCCGTGACGTCAGTCTGTGACCTCAGTCCGTGACCTCAGTCCGTGACCTCAGTCTGTGACGTCAGTCCGTGACCTCAGTCTGTGACGTCAGTCCGTGACCTCAGTCTGTGACGTCAGTCCGTGACCTCAGTCTGTGACGTCAGTCCGTGACCTCAGTCTGTGACGTCAGTCCGTGACGTCAGTCCGTGACGTCAGTCTGTGACCTCAGTCCGTGACGTCAGTCTGTGACGTCAGTCCGTGACGTCAGTCTGTGACGTCAGTCCGTGACCTCAGTCTGTGACGTCAGTCCGTGACCTCAGTCCGTGACGTCAGTCCGTGACCTCAGTCTGTGACGTCAGTCTGTGACCTCAGTCTGTGACCTCAGTCCGTGACCTTGGTCCGTGACGTCAGTCCGTGACCTCAGTCTGTGACGTCAGTCCGTGACGTCAGTCTGTGACGTCAGTCTGTGACGTCAGTCCGTGACGTCAGTCCGTGACGTCAGTCTGTGACGTCAGTCCGTGACCTCAGTCTGTGACGTCAGTCCGTGACCTCAGTCTGTGACGTCAGTTCGTGACCTCAGTCTGTGACGTCAGTCTGTGACGTCAGTCCGTGACCTCAGTGGGTCTTTCTCACATGTATGAGACATGTCCCTCTCGGTCACACAGACACATGTCCCTCTCGGTCACAGACACATGTCTCTCTCGGTCACACAGACACATGTCTCTCTCGGTCACACAGACACATGTCCCTCTCGGTCACAGACACATGTCTCTCTCGGTCACACAGACACATGTCCCTCTTGGTCACAGACACATGTTCCTCTCGGTCACAGACACATGTCCCTCTCGGTCACAGACACATGTCTCTCTCGGTCACAGACACATGTCTCTCTCGGTCACACAGACACATGTCTCTCTCGGTCACAGACACATGTCTCTCTCGGTCACACAGACACATGTCTCTCTCGGTCACACAGACACATGTCCCTCTCGGTCACAGACACATGTCTCTCTCAGTCACACAGACACATGTCTCTCTCGGTCACACAGACACATGTCTCTCTCGGTCACACAGACACATGTCCCTCTCGGTCACAGACACATGTCTCTCTCAGTCACACAGACACATGTCTCTCTCAGTCACACAGACACATGTCTCTCTCGGTCACACAGACACATGTCTCTCTCGGTCACAGACACATGTCCCTCTCGGTCACAGACACATGTCTCTCTCGGTCACACAGACACATGTCTCTCTCGGTCACAGACACATGTCCCTCTGGGTCACAGACACATGTCCCTCTCGGTCACAGACACATGTCCCTCTCGGTCACACAGACACGTCTTTCTCGGTCACAGACACATGTCCCTCTCGGTCACAGACACATGTCTCTCTCGGTCACACAGACACATGTCTCTCTCGGTCACACAGACACATGTCCCTCTCGGTCACAGACACATGTCTCTCTCGGTCACACAGACACATGTCCCTCTTGGTCACAGACACATGTTCCTCTCGGTCACAGACACATGTCCCTCTCGGTCACAGACACATGTCTCTCTCGGTCACAGACACATGTCTCTCTCGGTCACACAGACACATGTCTCTCTCGGTCACAGACACATGTCTCTCTCGGTCACACAGACACATGTCTCTCTCGGTCACACAGACACATGTCCCTCTCGGTCACAGACACATGTCTCTCTCAGTCACACAGACACATGTCTCTCTCGGTCACACAGACACATGTCTCTCTCGGTCACACAGACACATGTCCCTCTCGGTCACAGACACATGTCTCTCTCAGTCACACAGACATATGTCTTTCTCGGTCACAGACACATGTCCCTCTCGGTCACACAGACACATGTCTCTCTCGGTCACAGACACATGTCCCTCTCGGTCACACAGACACATGTCTCTCTCGGTCACAGACACATGTCCCTCTCGGTCACACAGACACATGTCTCTCTCGGTCACAGACACATGTCCCTCTCGGTCACACAGACACATGTCTCTCTCGGTCACAGACACATGTCTCTCTCGGCCACACTGACACATGTCCCTCTCGGTCACACTGACACATGTCCCTCTCGGTCACACTGACACATGTCCCTCTCGGTCACACAGACACATGTCTCTCTCAGTCACACAGACACATGTCTCTCTCGGCCACACTGACACATGTCCCTCTCGGTCACACAGACACATGTCTCTCTCAGTCACACAGACACATGTCTCTCTCGGCCACACTGACACATGTCTCTCTCAGTCACACAGACACATGTCCCTCTCGGTCACACTGACACATGTCTCTCTCGGTCACAGACACATGTCTCTCTCAGTCACACAGACACATGTCTCTCTCAGTCACACAGACACATGTCCCTCTCGGTCACACAGACACATGTCTCTCTCAGTCACACAGACACATGTCTCTCTCAGTCACACAGACACATGTCCCTCTCGGTCACACAGACACATGTCTCTCTCAGTCACACAGACACATGTCTCTCTCAGTCACACAGACACATGTCTCTCTCAGTCACACAGACACATGTCTCTCTCAGTCACACAGACACATGTCTCTCTCAGTCACACAGACACATGTCCCTCTCGGTCACACAGACACATGTCTCTCTCGGTCACACAGACACATGTCTCTCTCAGTCACACAGACACATGTCTCTCTCAGTCACACAGACACATGTCTCTCTCAGTCACACAGACACATGTCTCTCTCAGTCACACAGACACATGTCTCTCTCAGTCACACAGACACATGTCCTTCTTGGTCACAGACACGCCACAGACACAGATGTTTCCTGAGGTAAAAGAGGAGAGAGGAGGGGCACTCACAGAGCTGTCCAGGACACCATTACCGTCCGTGTCGTAGAGTCGGAACATGACTGAAAGAGAACAGACCCCATGATTCAGACAGGACATCATCAGCTCAACAGCGCCTCCTGTGTCCATGAGACCAGGGTTAAAGACCAAGAGATCCTCCTGGGACCAGTTAAAGACCAGGATCCTCCTGGACCAGTTAGAAGATATCTCGTCACAGACCATACAGAAAGTGAACTGGGCAGAGCTTAAGCGTGTCAAGGACCATGTGACTGCGTGTCTGCTGAACCATGTGTGTCTTAAACCATGTGTGTGTCTGCTGAACCATGTGTGTCTTAAACCATGTGTGTGTCTATTAAACCATGTGTTTGTCTTAAACCATGTGTGTGTCTGCTGAACCATGTGTGTGTCTTAAACCATATGTGTGTCTGCTAAACCATGTGTTTGTCTTAAACCATGTGTGTTTCTGCTGAACCATGTGTGTCTTAAACCATGTGTGTGTCTATTAAACCATGTGTTTGTCTTAAACCATGTGTGTGTCTGCTGAACCATGTGTGTGTCTTAAACCATGTGTGTGTCTTAAACCATTAAACCATTGTGTAATAGATGTAAAAATGCAGGTTTCATGTTAAATTTGGAGGATAATTCTTCCCTAAAATACTATGAAAATTAAAGATATTTTTCCATCTTTGTCCCCGCCCCTCCCTGTCACTCACAGCCCCTCCCCTCCCCTGTCCCCGCCCCTCCCTGTCACTCACAGCCCCTCCCCTCCCCTGTCCCCGCCCCTCCCCTGTCCCCGCCCCTCCCTGTCACTCACAGCCCCTCCCCTCCCCTGTCCCCGCCCCTCCCTGTCACTCACAGCCCCTCCCCTGTCCCCGCCCCTCCCCTGTCCCCGCCCCTCCCTGTCACTCACACTCCAGCTTGTCCTCGGGGGTCCCTCTCTCCAACAGTGAGAGGTAACACACGATGTCCTTGAGAAAGACCACCTGGGGGGACGGCAGGGGGGACAGCAGGGGGGACGGGCTCCTTCGCAGTGACAGGAGTTTCTCTGTGTGACTTCTCTCTGTGATCCACAAAACAAACAGAGTTTAGTCTCTGTAAGAAACAAGGTCTCAGTGAAGGACTGTACTGACAGCGCTCTATAAATAAACTATAACTTCTAATATAATATCTGTAATTATATTATATTTAAACTGGAATGACTGTCAATGACCAAACCACAATAAATGAATGAATGAATATTCAGCAGCAGAGGACTGTGTCCCTGTCCATCATTATAAACTGTCTTTTGTTGATGATGTAGAAATAATATATATATATATATATATATATATAATTTCCTATAATATAATATGAGTTTACCTGGGGAGAGTTTGGGGGACACTGGAGACCTGGACGGGCCCTTGTTGGGGGTCAGGACATTATTATTGTTGCCTTCAGTGGACTTGACTTTAGTGCAGGGGGATTTGTGTCCCCCGGGGGTGTGGCGTCCTGTCCCGGAGCGCTGGGAGGAGGAGCGGGATGAACATGGGGACGTGGTGGCCCCTGACCCGGCCGTACTCATCACACTGGGCTCTGGAGTGTGGCGCCCCATCGCAAACAGGATGCTCTTCCCATTCACGCCTGATGGGATAGAGAAAAGAACATGTATGTTTCAATAACGCATCTGAGCAAAACCACATAAAACACTAAACGTTCACACGGCAAGAGATTTAAAACAAAGATACTGTACATTTGAATCCATAGCTCCACAGGCAAATTATAGTCACACAACCCACAGAAGCAGCATCACAACATGAGGGCGACAGAAAGCAGCAGAAACCAGCAGAGCTCCTCCTCTGGTACCTGTGATAGGGGCACAGGCCACTTCAGTCTGAATAGAGATGCCTGCATCAATGGAGCGGGCGTCTGCCAGGGTTCGGATGGAAAAAGGAAGTTTAGGAAAAGCAAAAAATGAAAAATCCAATAAATCCTTGAATGTAATCATGATCATCTGAAAGTTGACCAAAATTCAAATGATAAATATAAAACCACAGAGTATGGAAAACCATGAACGCACCAGTGACAAGCACAGATGGTCTGAAAAATGGAAGGAATAATCGGAGTAACCACCAGAGGGCAGTGTTGTGTTGTGTATGTTTTCTGCATGTCTCCTAAAGCACTGGGCAAGTGCACAAACAAATAGACACATGTAATAATGATAAGGAGCTTTTAAATGGTGCATAAATGAAGTGAAAAGGAGTAATTCAATGTTTTGTGGAAAAATGGTCATTAAATTTGCTAAATACCTAATTTACTATATTTTAGCCCATTTACATTGGTTTGCTGGTGAGACATGACATCGTTGTAGAATCCACATGATTACCATAAACACTGGTCTCCCACTGCCCCTGTGAGCTGCTCTTATACTTCCACATTATTACACAAATAGATTTCTAATTCAATGGTCCATCTGTCTCCTCAGCTGCTCTGTGTGAAGGACCAGACAGGCTCCAGGACCTCAGAGCCAAAAACCACAGAATCTTATGAGAAAAGTGAAGGCAGAAAAATGGACAATCAAAGCTTAAAGTGTGCAGCGATGTTTCAAGAAGTAAAATGGTAGATAGAAAACTATGGCCTACGCAGGTGGACAGACGCAAGACACTGGCCCTCACAGTCACAGGGTCCCATTGTGTATCCGTGTTCTGACTCTGTATGTTCTGATTGTCTCTGGGTGCCACACGTGAGTCTTTCTATCTGTGACGTAACAATGACTATAAAAACCATGTCCTGACTTTGTTCTGTCTGAAAAAACCTGAGAGAACCTAAATAAACTTCCAGGTTGCTTTGGTGCGCAACGATCCCGTCTCTGTGAGGTTGTTTTCCAAAGTAGTTTATATAATGTTCTGTAAAATCACCAACACAGTTATGATCAGTGTGTTCCTGTGCGGTCCACGCCTCACACGGACTACTGCCCTGGATTTGTGTTTAATATTGGGCGTAATAAATGCAGTGAATAGCATGGAGCAATGAAAGTTGTATTTCTGACGGGACTCACCGAGGAGACTGGTCCCAGCCCGGGACTGGTCTGGGGAGCAGCCCCCAGACTTACTCTTGAAGGAGGTGAAGAGATGCTGACACAGCTCCTCCGGGAGGTCGTTCTCCAGGTATGTGGCCATGAAGAGCTGAAAGCCTTCATAGTCAATGGGCTGAGCAGGACAGACAGGAGAGAGAGGTTATGGCACAGCTGTTGAAAGACAGATAGTTCTGCACGAGGAGGACCTGTGAGGACCTGTGAGGACCTGTGAGGACCTTTGAGGACCTGTGAGGACCTGTGAGGACCTGTGAGGCCCTTTGAGGCCCTTTGAGGACCTGTGAGGACCTGTGAGGACCTGTGAGGACCTGTGAGGACCTGTGAGGACCTTTGAGGACCTGTGAGGACCTGTGAGGACCTGTGAGGACCTTTGAGGACCTGTGAGGACCTGTGAGGACCTTTGAGGACCTTTGAGGACCTGTGAGGACCTGTGAGGACCTGTGAGGACCTGTGAGGACCTGTGAGGACCTTTGAGGACCTGTGAGGACCTGTGAGGACCTGTGAGGACCTGTGAGGACCTTTGAGGACCTGTGAGGACCTGTGAGGACCTGTGAGGACCTTTGAGGACCTTTGAGGACCTGTGAGGACCTGTGAGGACCTGTGAGGACCTTTGAGGACCTGTGAGGACATGTGAGGACCTGTGAGGACCTGTGAGGACCTTTGAGGACCTGTGAGGACCTTTGAGGACCTGTGAGGACCTGTGAGGACCTGTCCAGAGCATGATGTCAAACAAATTCATTACAACATGGTCTTGCAAAGAAGTAGTTACAACAAAATGTCAGAATGAGAGGTCAGTGACAGACAAAAACATGAGTGTAAAATATACATTTGAATGATTCTAAAACATGAACCAACAATGAAATAAAAGCTTTAGTTTAAGCTTTAGTGCGAGTTAAGGATACGGTAAACTGTGACACACTGTAAAGTCCCACCGCAGAGGAACCCTCTGTCTGTACATGTGGTGTCGGGACAGATGTGCATGCACCCCACTGACACACACACACACAGAGACGAACACACACACACACGCACACACACACACAGAGACGAACACACACACACACACACACACACAGAGACGAACATACACACACACACACACAGAGACGAACACACACACACACACACAGACACACACACACATACACGTTTGTGTTACCTGGTGGGTCCCTTTGACAGGGCCGTTCAGAATGGGACCCATAGACATAATCTTTTTTTACCAAGACTTTAAGTAATACAAAACAGTCAATAGAAACCAAACAACTATTTTAAAGGAATTTTATTTTAGATTTTTTTTTCGAATTGCAGTGATTCTATTTTTGACATAGAATTTAATGCCACTCCATGTCCGATGTCTAAGGTCATCTGGTGAGGCATTAATGCAGGCCAGGCAGTGAGACTTCCCAGGGACCTTTCCAGTCTGTATGAAAGGTGTCATGGTCTTCTCCACAGCCTTCACCTCAGATGCAGACCATGGCTTTCTTACACGTTCTAGGGAGAGAAATAAAAATATATTAGCAATATACACTCCCAGGGTGAGGACCAAGCAGCCTGGCTGTAATCCCCCACCTGGTACACTTACCAGAAGGGGCACTGCCACTACCATGGGGTGCATCTGGATGAATGGTTGAAGGTTCTCCGCTTGAAGTTTCTTTTAGCCCGTCCGTTTGTGAGAGGATCTCTACTGCTCTCCCTGTCGCACAGAAAATAAAAATACAAGTGGCCTTTAGGGGAAAAAAATCATACATATTTTAATAATATCAAGAATTACCTTCTGGCTCAATTTGTATCTGGTCGAGGCTCTTTCCTTCGAATTCCGTCACTCTTCCCTGCTCCATGGCCATCAACACTTTGCTGATTTTGGCCAGCTCCAGTGTCCCCTCTGGTAGTCTGTAATATTGCCTGTGGATGCGAATGTCATGGCCGAGGAAGTTGGCAAGTATGTCCATCTCATTCTCTTTCATATTGAGAACTGTAGACATAGTAGCTATGTGCTTTCTAAGTTTGGTTGAGGATAGCATCTCTGGATGCACCGCACCACATTCTTTGGCTACCTGGCGTAGGGAGTCTGATCCCCTGATGTGGGTGTCTGCGCCCGGGCGGGAAAAGAAGTATGGGTTATGGTCAGAGATGGAACAGGCCCTTCTGTTCTCCACCAGCACCTCCATCGAAGCAATCATTTCAGGAGTCAAAAGAACCGGCACTTTCCCACTTCTTTTCCCTTTAATTTCAATGCGTTGAAAATGCTGACACAGCTTTTTCTCAAGTTGGGACAGTCCCAGAGCAATGTCAGAATGGATCCCAGTCTTACTTCTTAAGGTAAAGGCTGTCAGTGGCATCTTTGAAACCTCACCTTCCCTTCTTCGATTGAAAATGATGACCTCACAAAGAGTCAAAACTGCCAGTTTAGACCAATGCTTAGACGTTGGCTCACTTATTAGGGTTTGCACATATTCAGGTCGACATACCTCAATATGTGCATGCATGGCTCTAACGTCCTCAGTCAGAGGGAGCAGGTCCGGAGTGTTCCACTTGGCTTGCCGGAGGGTCTGTAGGGCAGCAGAAGAAACACAGACGTCCCACCTCTTCTCAAAAAGCAGCCGGCTTCGTTGGAGGTTTTTAATAAATAGTTCATCAACACAATGCTCCATTTTTGAGTCACATTCAAGAATATCTGCTAGCTTTCTGAGGCTATGGCCGAGTTTGAGGGCCAAGGATGGAGTCTTGTATTGATTTGTTTCCTCATCATATCCAGCCACAGACCTGACTGCATCAATCACATGGTTAAAGTTGGAAGGAATAAAGAAATCCTTAATTGTTTTCAGTTTCCCTGCAGTTTTTGCTTCG